GTGAGGTCAACTCACCCACTGCAGCGAAGACTAAGGCAAAATGATCTAGAGTTTTATTTGGAAGATATTAGAACGAGACATATAAACGAACAATATTCTTTTCAATTATATCTTCTTCAGGCTTTGCTAAAATTTACTTAGATTTATATATTAAAAATTTTAACCAATGACAGTGAGTTTGTGGACCAAATAATAATTATAATAAGCGCTTAATGTTTTGAACGTCAGTAATAACAATGATTATAATGATAATAAGGTTTATGCATATGGCGATAGGAATAACGAAAGTGGTGATATGTGTATATGTAGAGAACTCAACAAATAAATTAGATCAAATCATAAAAGTTGCGCAATATTAAAGGTGAAGTGGACAGATAATCAGAGTTCAAATAGATTTAATAAAAACACGAAGAAAATAGAAAATAAAAAGGGTAGGATGGTCTTAATAAGAACTTACCTAGGCCAAGGGAGAGACAAAGGTACAACAAACTTCTTTTGTTTGCAAAGATTACTGTTGTTCTCTCGAATTAGTTAGCATAACTTCAGCTACGTGTAAAAGGTGGGTTCGAATTCCATTCGAAAGGCTCTATGGAAAGCAAAAGATAACTTTGAAAGCACTTCTTCTGTCTACTTGGTGACTGCTATCAATCAAATGAGTCTAAATAGATTTTCTTATAAATTTTATTTTGCGTTTTCCGAACCATGAAGGAAGATGCTCATTCATACGGTTGTTAAACTGTCTAGTTGTTCGCCTGACATAGCTTTCTCTATAGGCGTGACTAAATTTATGGATACACAGAGAAGTGGCACAGCTAGGTAGCTTGTCTTTCGCTTGAGCAATCATAATTGGTCGGCTGGAAAATGACAAACAAAGTTTGGTGGCAGTGTAAGTCCGTTTTATTGCTCTCGATAATCTTAGATGTTGGACTTCGCTTGCCACGTCCCCATTAAATTGCAATTTCATGAACAGTTGTTTCTTTTCAACTGTTGTCAGTTTATCCGTATTATGCCTGGTGTTCACGTGTTTCCCTGCAAAAACCATTTAGATCAGCATATTTTGGATGTCTCCTAATTCCTTTTTAAGGAGTTATCTGTACAGATCCATCTTACTCTATTCGTGAGGCATCTCACCAAATTGGTTTTGTATCGGATTGGTACAAAATTGAAGAAAGTCGTTTATTGTCCTACAGACGTAGGTTTCCTAAATACATTTCTTCTAAGTAAACCATCCTCTCTTCTGCTCAACTGGACATCAAAGAAGTGTAGTCTGCCATCATGTGATTCTTCACAAGTGAAAATGAGCGATGGATGTGCATCATTCAACTTTATTAACATTTCATTCTTGTCAGCTTTGACATCAAGAATAATAAACGGATTATCAACATAATGAAAATAAGAATCCACTTTATCTATTTCTTGTTTCAATGGACCACTTTCAACTTTAGGAAGAAAGAAATCTGACGAAATTGGACCCAATGGAGAACCCATAGTGATATCGTTGGTCAGACAATTGCGAAGCATCACTTTCAGTAGGTTTATGATGGCTGTAGACTGCCTATGATATTACTCCACTTTTCCTCAGCTCCTTAAGCGTGTTTTTTTGGCTGCTTTTCAATCTTTACGTCTAGATCTGTTGAGTTATTGGGCTTTTAAAATTTCGTTTGATCGGCTAGATGTGAATTCATTTTGTCAACTTAATTCCACTAATCCATTAATACTACTCCGCCTCCTTTATCAAGGCTACTGATAATAATGCTTTCATTGTTCCTTAACTTTCTCGTGGCTTCTCAGTGCTGTTTAGTCAGCAGGCTTTAACTTGAACGACTAATGTTTTATACTGCTGATAACTGTTGCCTAGTGTAGTTTTAAACCTACTTACTTCATCGTCTGACAATGGGATTAAGTCTTGTATTTGTAGGAGAAAGTTTTCAAAATAGATATTGGTATCGAGTTGATTGATCTTATATCCCTGGTGACAAAATCTAAGACACACACAATGATAATGCTTCTAAGTGTAATTTATGTAGTGTAACACTGCAAAAATTATAAACATACCGATAAGAATCTAAAGGGAAATTCTTTTTTCAAGATTTTGACTTTCTGAGAATTAGATAAATTTAATTCGTCTTTTCTCCTGTCACATTTTGCTAACTTTGTTGACATAACCAAGGAAATCTAATAACAGATCCTAAGGAACTTTCCATATTAGTTAGCTTATTAGGTATATCACACAGTGAAACAGTATTATTTACTGGATGACGTTTCGAACAAAATTTATTGTTCATAATCATATCAAATGTGATCACACGACTTTGACACTTGAGTTTTATAGCTTTCTTTGTTTTGTCGTAAGGGGAGTCGAATTTTCCAGATATCTGGGACAGGTGATGAATCATTCCTATTACATGTATTTGCAGTTGATTCGATAAACAAAGCTTCTGTTATCAATCTCTCCCTCCACCCCGCTGTTACATTAGATTTTAAAACTGTCATCTTATCCCATCCTATTGTATGGTTGTGTGTAACTGCATGTAGTGAGTGGTATAGCTGAACTATTCTCTAGATTTTTTATTTTATTCGGGTCAACCAATCTAGATTTTGCTAAGTTTTTATGTTCAGCTAGTCTGACTGCCCCTGTTCTACTAGTTTAACCTATGTATTTGACCTGACAATCATTGCAGGCAGGGTATTAGATAAACTAAATTGTTTTGTTTTAAAGGCTATACAGGATTATTTAACCGACAAAGCTTGTTTCTAATTGAGTTTGTGGGTTTGAATGCCAGCCGTTTTTATTCCTGCCTTGTTAAGAATTCTGCTTAAGGCTTACGAGGTTCCTTCCTTGTATGGAATTACTACTGATGATTTAGATTCTTTATTGTTGGTGTCGTCATTAATATTATCATTATCACTATTATTATTATCACTATTATTGTTATTATCCCTATCGCTACTATCATTATTTATTTTACTTTTACATTTCCTTACATATTTCCTGACTAATTTATCCGGGTAATTATTAAGTTTCAAGGTATTGTAAGTGTAGAAGACAGTAGACTTGGTAAAATAATGCTTATTTGCAATTTGATATCTTCATATAGCAAACATTATGTAAACCTGATCCTCAATAAACCATTTGCACAGGTCTTCCGTGTTGTGCTACTTCTCAGTTTCCCTTATATGATGTTTCTTTCACGTCTCTTATGTTTCTCCGAAAACGTTGTATCATTTGCTTTCTCTGACATCAAATCTGTCCATCTCCCTCCTATTTGATGGTTTTATGCTGATGAACGTCTCTGTATATACCACTAATAAATCGTAACAGTGGCACAGATCACAGTATAACCACTCTACATTTTGCTTGTTTCGTTTCCCTCATGTTTTCATCAAGTAATTTACTTCGTGTTTTATTTTGCACATTTCATTCTCCATTTTGTTGAACATGTATTTGAATTCACTCACTGCACAAATCCTTTGTGTCGAAATGTTACTCAGTTTCACTTTCGAACAATGAGATTATGGAAAGTTATGTAATCCGTCCCACCTCTTCATTACTCAACAATAATTTGATATCCTATCCAATGTCTGTTTACTTCCCTCTGAATGTGCTTTGATGCTTTGCATTAAAATGAAATCATTCTCCATTTGATTCATTATTTCCATCATAGTATTCGAAAGAAAATGTATAAAGATTGTACGAATTTTATAAATTGATTAAATTTCCCCCTTATTTTGAGTGTCACACCTAGTACAATGAACCAGGTTTGGATTTTCAACAATATATTCGGGGCAATTATTGATCATATGTAATCCAGAGAACTGCCACCCGTGTCAAGAAAGGCATCAACAACAACCATCTTCTGACCTTCATGAACAGCTGTCTTCATCACTTTCCCAGTGAAGATAAGATGTTTAGGAAGGATAAGCAGCCTGGAACTCAGAGAAACAACTAATCAAGTAAGTGTTACTAAACAAATAAATGGAGATAAATAGGGCACAATCTGAAGAAGCTGTTGAGTGACATCACAGGCCAAATTGTCCGTAAAGTGTAACTCCGAAGGAAAAAGACAAACTGGGCTTGGGTCCAAGGGTGATATGGAGATGGTGATGTAAGGAGGAGATCACAGCCTATGAGGATCCAGTTAAAGAGGTTAGGATAAGCATCAAGGAACTCAGAGAAACAACTAACCAAGGACCCATTGCTCAACAAATATACGGAAGTAAGTGGAGATGAATAAGACAGAAGCTGAAGAAGCCGTTAAGTGACATGGCGCACCAGACAGTCCGTCGAGTGTAACGCCGAAGCATAAAGGACAACAGGGTGATATGGATAAGAACAAGTAAGGAGGAGATCAGAGAATTTGAGCAAACTTGGATCCAGTTAAAGAGGACTTCAGAGAAAAGGATGAAATGGAGATGTGATGTGGAAGTTGCATGTTCCACTCAGAACTCAAGGGAATAATAATAAGTCACGTGTTCTCAGTGTATGTCAAGCAAAATGGCTATTGTTTTTTCACTCTACCATGTCTCGGCGTTTATGACACATAAGATTATTTGAAATAATAGAAAAGACTTTTAGCTCGGAATTCAGAGAATATCGAACACCCTCAGAAACACAGAGATATTTAATAATTTACTATAACATGTCAGGCTAATGCTGTACTTTTATCAATCGGTATCATTTAGCCTTGCATAAAACATTTATACAACTAATAAAGCACATTTTTAGTAATGCTAAAGAACATCACAAGCATTTGATGAAAAATGTTTAGGTTTGATTGAAAATTACTGCATGCAACTACCGTTGATTGATCGGTTAACACTTTTGTTTGAAGAGATAAAAAAATGAATATTTGGCAAAACTCCAGCTTAGTGGTGCTGACAGCCAAAATATATTCACATTAGAATGCAATAACGAATGAACTGCTTCTTGATTGGGTAACAGGTGAGCATACCTTATGCTAAAGTGTTTTATTTGAAATACACAGAAACACAATTAATAATAAACCTTTTCTGTAAACAGACAGCGCACTGAGAAAATAAGAAATGTTGGGAAGACAATTGAATTACTTTCCTATAACGATTTATGTACTACTGAATATTCTGATCAATTGTAAGTCCAGTTTACTTTTGTTCAAACCATAACGTGTATTTTTATTGTCTGAAATATCACTTCAGAAAACTTCTATAATTATTATACTTATAGTTACTTAATATAACTGTTCGCCACTGGTGACAAGAAATTTAAACTTAATGCTACAGCTTTTTAATCTTTGACGTGAAATCCTTTATTTTAAGCACATGAATAACATCGATTGGATCGACTGCAGTTGAACACCGGAATTGTATTCGATGTAATTCACATTCTATCTACTAGTTCCCCTGCATTGGATTGGTACGCATACTTGTGTAGAAGTAATAAGGAGTTTTAGTGTAATCGACTGTGGTTAGATGACAAATCCAGATGCACGTAATCTCAGTGAAACTCTAACATTATCCACTGTCGAACATTGACTACTGACTGGTCATAATTTCATTGCTTGCGATTATTTAACAATTCGACTGCTCCATAGTTATTAGAACTAACAGTTATTTTCAATAAATTCCTCTTCAGATTCTATAGTTATTCAGCAATGTCTTGACTGAAATCTTAAAGTCAATTTGGGAAAGATATGAAAATATTTCAGTGCGGATTTAGTCACGAACAGACATCAGTTAAAGAATCATCGGAAATCAAGAAACAGTAGTTTGGGATTCCTCAGTGGTGCTTGGATATGACTTCACCAGGGATTTATCCAAGGCCTTCAAGTCCAGCCGGGTGACCATTCATTCACTAAGTTATAATTCAGTGACTTGTATATACTATCTCACATCACTCAGTGAGATAGCGCCATCATTAACTAATACCATCGATGAACATCCGCATCATGGAGATATCCTGGACCCTACTCGTCATGAACTCTAGTTAAAAATCCAGCGGCCATTAATGAGCTTGACATGGATGGTCAGATAACGGAGTTTTGTAGGCAGTTGGATTAGTTTTAGTGCCGAAACACTGTTCTAATCTACTTGAAACAAGCTGGATCTATATAGGCCGGATTTTCAGTATTGATTGCCACAACTTCGCCCATGGATAGATATGTAGTTGGATTAGTGGGAGAAAAGACGTATCACTGAGAACGCCTGTTTGAGCATGATTTATTGCTGACGATTCATCAAGTGTGATGAAATTGTCCTTTTTACACAATTTACTCTTTACTTAATCAATGAAAGCTCAACACGAGTGCCAATGAGTAAGAATCCTTCAATACGAGCTTATAGATGCAAACTGAATAGTTTATAATTGGTAATTTATCCTTGATTCTCTGTGTGACTATTGGCTAAGTTGAGAAATTGAGTACCACCATAGCTTCAATGAAAGTTCTATCAACAGATCTTTCCAGTTCACATGATAGAATGTCATCGTCTACATCGCCTTCGAGACTTATTCTTGATTATAGTATTTTCTCTTTTATTGTATCATTAATTGGATAAATAGATCGCTGAACATAAACAACATTAAACATGAATATAAAAGTCACACCTGACTCACTTGTTGATTATGTGATCCTCGAGACACTATAGTGACGATCAATAGTTAGATAATGTGAAGTTATTAACAAATAATGATATCTCAACATAAATGATTCAGAAATTCCCCACCTATTTTCACATTTACCTTACTGAGGTGTCATCTTAATGGTTGGTTACTTGAAAAGAAATTTGAATCTCCAGTGCTTACACTGTTGATACCATGGAATCTAGATGATATAATACGGGTCTCAGAATGGAAACCTTTCTTATTTAAGAAATGAAAAAATATAACAGGATAGATGAGTAAGACGAACAGTCTACAGGAATCGAACCCTATGGGATAGTGTCAAAGTCACCATGGTTTCTGACGATTTTAATGTAAATCGGCGTTGGTTAGGTGCCTATCTCATAAGCATATATTTGTGCGGTAGACACCATTGATGAAAGAATGCAGTACCTTACTAAAATGTTATATTTTTATATATATATATTTATATGTGGTCACACGAATATAGGGAGGACACAGTGCGACTGAACAAATTCCCAAGTGACTGTAGGAACAAATAATTTCACCTGATTCGATTAACCATGAAAATAGGTGTTTAACTTCACCTATCCCAAACTGTATCATAGTGATAGTCATCAAGTTGTTTTCACTGCTACCTCACAAACCATATGTAACATAGATATGGTTGAAAAGCTTATATTCGTACTCAAGAGATTTACCCATGAAATAAATTAGATGCTTTCATTTATGTATCATTACACTGATGGTTATAACTTTGAAAAATGTTTTACTTTAAATCATATAGACAAATGCAGTGCCTTCGAATGCTACGATTGTGACCACTGCCCAAATGTTGACAGTTTCACACCTAAGAAAGATGGCTGCGTTGCATGCTTGGTAAGTTCTGTTTTATAATAAGATGATTTGACACGAGTAATTTATTAATAACTTTAAGTTTTTCTTGTGAATAGTATTTTTAAAATGTATATATATATTTATATATATTGTTCCTACAGCTGTTTTTTTTCCTTCACGTTCCCCAGTGGAACATAGGGCTCACAGCTTGTGGCTTGAAGTTTCTGTAGCAGTGTTCATTTTACAGGATGAGGTTGCTAGCCTCATACCCCACCCTTCCTCTTCATCAGCATTTTCCTGACTTAGCCAGGTAAAGGATTGCGTCGGCCAGGGATCGAACCCTGGACAATGTGCATGGTCGGTGAGCGTCCAAACCGGTATGCCACCGATGCACGTATATATATGTATACATGTATGTATATATCGTGGCAAATCCCATAGAATCAGAATACTAATCGAAAACGGTTACTTCCCGATACAAATTTAAAACAAGCAACAAAGGCTAATACAACAGGATTTCATGAATTCATCGAATTTCGGTAGAACTATTCACCTGAACACTCCACATTCGGAGATAAATACATACACTATTGAAAATACACTGGGAGATATACAACTGGTTAGCAAATAGACCGCATTGAATTAGTCATTCAGAAAGACAGGTGCGAATGTTTTCCATGTCATGATCAAATAGTTTAGGTGAAAGGGAGTATGAGACATTGAAATTAAGATGAAACGCAGTAAATTTCAATAACATCACTTAGATAAACAATCAGTCACTAGAAAATATATGAAGAATTGTGAGCTGAGTAGCATTAATACTAATTTTTATCATAATTATTAATAATTTTGAAGTGAGTTAAGATAATGCTACTGATAACGGACAGTTATAAATGAATCAAGAATAATAGCAAGAGGAAGAATAAAGTGTTAATAATATTATTAATAATAATGACAACAGTTAATAAGTAAAACGTACTACCATGGTAGATTCAGAGTGACGACCATCTCCTTTTGTGAACAGAGACCTGATTGATGAACTCGAATTACAGAAGCCTACTCCGGAATTGCAAGCATCTTGTCGTTTCGTTATGTGCTTACAATATTGAATGAATTGACATTGTCGACATTATGTTCACAATCCAGAAGATGCTTTGTTTTTGAGCTTTTGGCACTTTGAATTCAGCTGTTTTCAACGACTTTGGTACATGCTTCAACATGCGAGTAGACAATCTCCTTCCTAAACAGCCTATGCACTTGCTTCCAAAAACACACTGAAATTGACGTACGCAGTTTGAAGTGTCGATGATTGGTGACTGGTCTTTCCCATAATGTTGAAGCACTAGCTTGATTGTGTTAAGGAAGACATATCTTGCAGCATAATAATTAATCGAGTCTTCGTTTAACTACCTCTTGTATATCATCTCCTTCGAATGGCAAACTGACTGTTGGGTTGTCAAATGGCTTCATTATTATTTCTCAGGAAGAAAGCAGTACACTGGATGTCAGGGAAAGTCGTCCACGTCATTGCTTACTGAGGCTGGTGTCCCTCAAGTCGCTCTCGTTTCTCCTTTTCTGTTTTCTTTCTTCTTGCATGACTTACCTCACTCTGATGAAATGAACTTTGTTAAGTATCCCGACGATCTAACAATTTCAATGTCTGTTAACTCCCAGCCAGACTGTACTAAGACGAACAGCTTTCTATCAGTAGTCAGCAAATGGTCTTTGTCTAATGGACTTGAACTAAATCCTTCCAAATGTCAGACTGTTAATTTCAGTTTCGATTGTAAAGGGAAGTTAAATGAAGCTGTTGGTTCCTATGACCGTTGCAAAACTGATGATACTGATATAGAAACCAAGTCTGAAGTTGAGTATCATGGATTGATTCCTTCTACTGACCTATCGTGGTCTTCCCATGTCTTAGTGATTTCTAAAATATATTTCGTCCGACATTCTACATCGAGAAGTAAAGGCACTCAGGCATAACACAACCACTCATCTTACAGTTTGTCAACTCATGCATCTTACCTATTCTTCTTTGCAGTTCACCTTTATTCTTTCCTGGATCGCTTGAAAAAGACAATGTCATACTTCGTAGAACTCTGAAGACTAGCTGTCAATAGGACGAGTGGTATCCCATTGGGCCACATTGTTGACTCTGTCATTATTAGGCACTTGATGTCATGCAACAAATTGCATCGTTACATCATTTTTTAAGATTATCATTTCCTTGGGTTCCGAGTGGAACATTCGACTTCAATGGCACATCTCGATTTCACTCGGTTGTTTCCATTTTCTTACCTGGCTCCACAATCACCCGATATCTATCATTTCCTCATCATATAATCTCTTACATGTCACTCTCGGACGCCAGAGCTCGTTGTTTTGCATTAGAGAGTGTGATGTCATTCAACGGTTATTTCAGAGTATGTTCAATACACAGCATGGAATGTTAACTAAAAAGAAACACCTGTAATACTGGAGTAGTGTAGTGAGGAATCAGAGAATTTTCTATATAGTCTTTGTGTTTTATCAAATAAAGTATAATTATATTTCAATAGTTTACACACAATGATAAGTTTTGTTATTGGTAATATTTCGAGCAAAATTACTGCCCGTGTTCACACCACTGTTGGAATTGTTTTATTCACACATTTACGATTTGTACTCATATATATAGTTTATTATTTTTGCTCATTCATGTTTTTGTGTTCAGAATTATATTCCAAGTTGTTGATAGTTGTACTGAGTCACACTTGTTACATGTTTCCGGTGTGACCACAATGAATATCGATTCTGTTATAAGTCTCTCTTTCCATTTGTTCATGCTAGTGTTTAGAATACACACATTGTCCCAATCGATATTGTGGTTTTTGTCCCATGCATGTGCAGCTATCGATGAATTTTTTTCAAGATTTTTGTAGGCTTGTGTTCCTGTTGGTTGACCTTTGGTTAGGCTTTTATGTTCATTCACTCTTATTTTGAGTGATCTGGACGTTTGTCCCACATATTTAGTCGGACAGTCAGCACAAGATATTTAGTAAATCAAGTTGTTTTTATCCATCTTCATTTTTTATGGGATCTTTCAGTTGATTTATTTTATTTTTGATTAGATTTGTCGGTTTAAAAGTTGTGTGAATGCCGATATTTTTGAGGTTTCTTCGAATTGCCTCTGATTTACCATTTTTACATGGTATTGTGACTGTTTATTTTGCATTCTTCCATCTTGTTATCCTCCGGTTTTACTCTCTTTTTTCTCTTTTTTATATTATCTTTGATAAATTCTCTTGGGTAGTTGTTTTCGAGTAGCATTTTGAATAGGACGTTTATTTCTTTACACTGGTCCTCCGGTGTTGTTGTAAGTCTACGTATTCTATCTGCAAGTCCTTGTATTAATCCTCGTTTTACCGTGAGTGAATGAGCTGAGTGATAATCAAGGAATCTTCCAGAGTGTGTGGTTTTCCTATATAGCGTCGTTTTAAGGCTACAATCTGTTATTCTTTGTACTTTACAGTCTAACATAGGTAGTTCCCCAATTTCATTCTCTACTTCTATAGTGAATTTTATTGAGTCGACATGGCTGTTTACATGTGAGAAGGGTTTCTCAATATCGTTTTTTTCACTATTACTAGTGTGTCGTCTACATATCTCCACCAACATTTCAGTGATGACCTGAATGGTTTAATGGCATTCTCTTCCCAATAATACATGAATATGTCAGCTATTATTGGTGAGATAGGCGATCCCATGGCTACTTCTTCATTTTGTTGGTATATTTTCCCTTCGAATGTGAAATATGTTGTTGTGTTTTATGTTGTCACCGTAATTTTTCCCACTAATTTTATGACGAATAAATCTTTGTATGCTTAAATTACAGATCGGTGGAGCAAACGTTGAAGTTTCTAGAGCATGCGTGGGCATGGGGTCAGGGGCGCCTGAGAACTTTCCAACATTAAATTGGAAAAAATGTTATGGACCTCTGTGTAATAAGATGAATTCGACATTAGTAATACGTAAGTGCTATTAATTTTGGTAGACAACAATCTGCTGTCTTAACTTTAAATGCCTTCATACAACACGTCTTTCCATTGAGAGAACTGAACGAGGTGGGAATGACGATGTCGTAGAGTAGTGTCACCTCAATTTTATTGCTACCCGGATTTTGATAAACTGCTCGTAAGCTAGACGAAATCAAACTATGCGAATTATATAAAGTGTATAGAAGGAAAGTTTAACTAGAAATAGTATGTTAGTGTAACAGGTTACATAACTGTGGAACAAAACATTTTATGTAGACAGAAAGAGTAACGTCAGTGACGTCTGAAAGAAAAAGTTAAATTTGAAACGGAAGGATAAATAAAGAAGATTAAATGATACAAATGGACTGTATAACTTTGTTTTGTGAATGTACCCATCAAAGTAATGGGAGATAGACCACTGTCACCTTATGTATGCATAGCTATGGTTTCAGCCATTTAATGGTTACTGTCAAGGAACTTAGCCCTAAGTTCCTATTGTAATGAAGACTTAAGCGATTGAACCGATAAATATTATGTACGTCCTTCAACTTTAAATCCAAAACACCAGCATTCCTTGAACGAAATTATATTGTTTGGCAATTAAAGTGAAGAAAACTACAAAGTTTACAAACAAATGTTAGGTACAAATGAAGTTATAAAGTACTTTTATTCGTATTTAACTCCAGTCTTCCTTCAACCTGCAAGCGATCGACCATTTGCGTCTTTCAGTTGCCCATTAATGGCTGCCAGATCCAATAAAACAAACGTTCAATGTTCACGTCCATTGATAGTTACTGTTTCAGTAAAATATTTCAGTATTCAGTTACGCGATATTAATATTACCCATCGCTATGCTAAGTGAGCAAAATGTGTGAACATTTTGTTAAGTGATACGAAATTGTTTAAACTTGTCTGCAGTTTACAAGTGTAACGGAACGATTGTTTGGAGAATCTCTCCTAAACAATCCAGCACAATATTTATACTCATCTGGATGTCTCATCTAGCTTTGTAATTGTTATCCATCTTCATCCTAGATTGTATATCATTGTCCTGACCTACGCATATCACACATTGATTTGATCCTTGTTATGCCTTCGTCCTTGTCTAATCTCTAATTTTAATTCTTCTCTTTGTTTGAGTGAGCTAAAATCATTCTGACCTTGAAGTATCCACGGGAAGCGTTGATGTGCAGTTCCTGTAGATAGATTTTGTTGTCCCACCTTGCTGGGAATATTCTACTTGATATTAGGCACTCATTTTGTACACAGACATAACTGGATAGCTGCCTGACGTACTGATGAGAACTGTTACAACCAAAACCCATTCTGTTGGGGTCTGGACGTAGGAAACCCATCTCTGCGTCCTACGGTATAGCTGGTGAAACTTCATTGAAACATGCATAGATTCCAGCAACGCCTAACCGTCTCTTTTCTACCTTTGTTTCGCATCTGTGCATGTGTCAAGGAATTTTTACCACTTATGCAGTAAGAATCACAGATCGGTTTCCAACGTTCATACAACAACGAGTCAGTTTTAGTGGTAACGACAAGAACTGACGAAATTATATGATGCCATATTATCGATTTGTTCTTGTTTAGTTCAAGAAGATATTGTAACAAATAATACACGACTTTAAGAATTTTTAAAAGCAACCAATATTTTATAAATGGTAAAGACGTCTTACTCCAAGAAAATAATAAATGCTAATTACAAATTGCTTCGAGAATCGCAACCACTAGCTACGAAGCGAAATATCCAGTTTTCATGAACAACACAATTATGTTGCATTACAGTATCTTCTCCGTCGAATTACAACCGTCTCTCATATTTCTGCTCAATGTGACAGTTTCCATTTTTCCAAAACCGTCGATATCTGAATGTCATTATTTCCTGAACAACCAGTGAACTTTGGATTATTTGATACTGATACACATTCTCATAGGTAGCTTTCAGCAGAGCTATACCACTTAAAAATAATGAGATATCGTGCTTGTCAGCTAATTTAACATTTTTTCAAAGTGAAATTGATTTTTTATTCTTTCATATCAAGCTGCTTCCTCTTGATATCCACGTTTGAATTCTTTTCTAGACGATCCAATAAGCTGTTATGTTTGCAGAGATTGCGGACATACAAACGAAAGAATTGAAACTGTGTGCGGTGCATGTGCAGTAAGTTTAAGTCAACCTTATAATTCAATCATTTTGTGACACATTTGTACACCTGAATTTGGATAACTTAACTCAAGGATCTTATTTATTTGACTCTGGAAAAAATCAATGATTGTGCGAAAAGAGATAATTATGTCAAAAATCTCATGTCATGGCATGTCTGCACTTCAGTCAAGCATGATTTCAATACATAAGCAGTTTGCAAGAAAATCATGCTTGAATAGAAAGAGATGTTTTTTTTAACAAAAAACATTAATAAGTTCACTCGTATACATATAAACGTGTTGATTTCATCGTCTTCGTCAGTTCTCCACAGAAAAGATTATTCAGCAGCCTACTCTGTTCTTCAGTCATCTCGTCAGGAGGAAAGGTAGTGAAAATGACAGAAATCAATCGGTTGAGTGTTGTTCTATTGAGTCAAGCTCAGTCAGTGTTCAGGTTTAAGGAAGAGATGAGAATAAAACTTCTAGGAAGTTCGCAGTCATGAGTATGAAAACAACAAACAAATTATTCTTAATTTTAAGTAAGACCACGGATTGAAATCAAGCTCCAAGCTAGATGCTTCAAGTTTCAGTAGCACTGGTGTTTATTTTCACGGGATGGAGTTGCTAGCCTCATGCCAAACCTTCCTTTTTTGCCAGTGTTATTGCTAGCTAAGTGAGATAAACGAGTGCGTCAACCGAGGATCGAACAACGAATAACATGCATAGTTTGTGAGCATTCTCTTGCTTAAATACTCAAGATGATGTTCAGAAATTCGACGGTATGCATGCCTAATTGTACACATGTTGTAACTGGCTACACTGAGAAGTCAAACTCATAGACACAGAAGCAGGTGGTGAAATTAGGTAGCTCATCTATATTTTCCGAAGATTAAAAATGGAGTGGTTGTAAAGCGACAGTGTACTTCTGCTGCAATCAATGCTCTTTCACCGCATTCTTCAGCCACTTTGCTTTTATCTCTCAGTTATCACCAAAGAGTCGCAGTTGTAAGAGCATCATCTTCTTCAAAGCTGTTGACATTCAAGCTTGGCTGAACATTAAATTCACATTTTTACCAATCAGTGTTTCTGGATATCCACTTTCACTAAATTATCCTCCAATAATCTTGAGTTCTCAGATCAAATCACTCTAGCTCAGTGAACAAAACAGTTTGTTAAATTACCTTTATATATCAACAGTATAAAACTACAAGAAAATAGAGTAATTAAGTATTTTCCAATCGAAATTCATATCAACGTTGAAACAGAGCTTTCCATTACGAAAGACTTGGAACTTGGAAAATTTTGTTTGTAAAATCTCAGCGAAATTGAAATGAGTAATTCGAACGTTTCGTCCGGCAAACTGGTCTGGACGTTTTCAAGGAAATTAATCGAAATCAAAATAACAAAGCTATTCATGTATACAAAAAGAACACATTTTGTCTCTAAAATTTTTGTCCAATCAAAATCTTTTCACTGATTTACATGAGAGCTGGAGAAATTCCATTATGTCTACCATAGAATGACAACATGTTTAATAGCTAGATTTAAGTGAGTCAGTCTCTGGATTTCCAAGCCAGACATTCAGAGACCATCGATACACATGAAAGAGCTAAAAATTAAGGCTCTTCTCTGCGTATCTATCAATTTGACTGCTCCTGTGAAGCCAGTTACATCGACCATACAAATACGCGTGGTTTTCATCAGATTTCCGAACACCATTCTGAGTAGTTGGTTAAGTAAGGGATAAACAAAATCCATTCATTGTTCTCTTTTACTTCATCTCGTGGATACACAGCGTGGAAATGATATTAACGAAGACATCTACCGGATAACAGCTGATCTTAACTTTACCTTAAGAGTTCGTCTACTACATGTTGCTGAGGTTGCTGGGAATTATATCAAGAAACGTAACTTATGTATCTAGTAGAAGTTACTCCAGACACTGTCCTTACCTTGGTCATCAAGGTTTCAACGATGCTCAATTTGTTGTAGAAATTTCGTTGATTTTATACTGTTACGTTTTTATGCTTAATAACATTTTTGGACTGTAATCCCATCTATATTACTTAACAAATCGATGGTATTTCAAAACATCAACATCGTTAATGCCGATTATTCCAAAATATTATATATGTATATATCACGAATCGGTAGAAGTTAGAATGCATGGGTTGGCCATTGGATAGAGTCCCAGTGGCTGGGTGATAAACGAGCTTGCCTTGTAATCAGGAGGTCTTAGGTTCGAACCCTAGCGGGTGCGTACTGCTAATGACTCCCAGACTAGGATGAAACAGCTGTCTAGTACTCCCTCCTTCTCAATGATTCTGTAACTGATATCAATCCGTGATCAAACTCGTATATATATATATATATATATATATATGAAAACGTTGAATTTTTATTTGACTTTCAGACTCGTAATGCATCCGGAATTATAAGTAAATATTGCCTTAAAAGCTGTGAGGAAGTAACAGTTACCCGAGGATCATCTTGCTGTACAACAGATCTATGCAATGGAGAGATGAAATTGAATATTCGCATAGGCCTAATGATATTTCTGCTGATTTTTACACACTTCAGCACCAAAGCATTATAAAAGGATTTGAATGAGTCATAATATCATTAATTTTTTTTTATAAGAACACAAAGATACTTTTAATAACAATCATTTTTTTCTGAAGCCATTCACGCTTTGCTTTAACATTTAAATCACTGCACTTTGGCGCTAACTTTTATTCACATACCTATATTATTACAATGTTTTAGTGTTTGATTTTTTTCAAAGCAACATTCACTATATAAGCTGGCATGTAACCAATGCATTATTACAACTCTAAATGCATAGGAACAGTTATAAATACGTAAAGTGTTTCACTTGCGGCATATATATTCATATATATGCTGTTTAACTTAAATTTTTAACGTTTCTTTGATTCATCTTTCAAGTGTACATTTCAAAGACACGTTAGATTTATAATTTCATTTGACATGGTGTGCATTTCAATCTATGCATCCTTTTAAGACTGGCTAACTCTCAACCGAAAATGAAAGAATAAAGAATTTAAGCTTAGTAGTGAAAAAACTGAATGACAAGTATACCAATTACCTTCATTTTAAACATGAAAATATGCTTGATAAATAATTATTCAAACATAAGACATCACAGTGGGTGTAAATTTGTTAACGATGATTGAAAATGAAGTAGGTTACTAGTTAACTTACCACAATGCTGAGGTGTGAGTGGTTGGAACTAATTTGGTCGTCTGATATGAGTGTACCTGGATAAAACATTGATGAGCTCGACCCAAAACAGTGAGAACAAACTTTAGTGGTAGTGTGTTCCACTTATAACTTTAGGTTCTTAAATAGGAAGTGTACAAAAATGTCTGGAATTTTCGGGAGATCAAGAGGTAGGTGGGAGACGGTATAAAAAGACGGAAACAAAACCGTAATTTGACACACCAGTATTTCAGTATATCAAAAAAGAACCATTGAAAACCATTGAGTACAGGACAGACCTAGTTTGGGACAATTGCTTCTTTTTTATTCATTGTCAGTTTCTCTTTACTTTACCTGGTGTTCATGTGTCTTCTAAGGTAAGTATTTTGGATGTATCCTAATTCATTTTCTAGGCAGTCATCTGTATAGATCCGTATTGCTCTATTCATGGGGCATATCACCATACTGATTTTCGATCAGACTTGTACAAAACTGAGGAAATGTGTATATTGTCCTACAGATGTGGGTTTTCTACACATATATATATCTCTTGAGTGAACCATCTTCTCTTCTGCTCAATCGGACATCAAGGAAGTGTGGTCGGCCATCATGCACCTTTTCACAAGCGAAGATGATCGATGGATGTGCAACATTAACTTTTACTAACATTTCATTCTTGTCAGCTTTGACATCAAGAACAATACATGCATTATCGACGTAACGAAAATAAGAATCCATTTTATCTATTTCTTGTTTGAATGGACAATTTTCAACCTGAGGAAGAAAGAAATCTGCCAAAATTGAACCCAATTGAGAACCCATAGTGATATCGTTGATCATACAATTGCGAATCATCACTTCCAGTTGGTTTGAGATGGTTTTGGGCTGCCTCCGGGATTACTCCACTTTTCCTCAGCTCCTTAGGCGTGTTTACTGGCTGCTTTTCAGCCTTAACGTATAGATCTGTTGGATTGTTGGGCTTTTGAAATTTCGTTTCATCGGTTAGAAGTGAATTCATTTTGTCAACGTAATCCTACTAATCCATCAGTACTATTCCTCCTCCTTTATCAAGGCTACTGATAATAATGTTTTCATTGTTCCTTGAATTTCTTACGGCTTCTCATCACTGTTTGGTAGGCAGGCTATTGCTTGAAGGATCACTGTTTTATGCTTCTGAGAACGGTCGAGTAGTGTAGTTTTAAACGTAACGAATTCATCGTTTGACGATGGAATCAATTCTTTTGTTTGTATGAGGAAGTTTTGAAACTGGATTATGTTATCGAATTGGTTGATCTTACATCCTTGGTCACAAAATCTAAGACCCAATGCTAACGCTTCAGAGTGTAATTTATCGGGTGTAACACTGGAAAAATTATAAACTTACTGTGAAGCATTTGTAGAGAAATTCTTTCCAAGATTTTGACTTTCTCAGAATTTGATAAAATTCATTCGCCTTTTCTCCTCTCTGTTTTGGCTAACGTTTTCGATGTATATATATATGAACAAGATTCAACTGAAAACAGTATTGCCCACTTATGTGTCTTGTTCTAGTATTGAAAATGGGAATATTTAAAGACATAGAAGGTAGCAAAGTTTTGGCTATTGAAAAAAGTATACTCCACCATGATGTGCAATATGGATCAAAAGTCTTTTTCCCAAATATAAATTAATCAAGGTACAGAAAATATCACCTAGCACCTGCAAAATAGGTATTGTAACTGTAGAAGACGGGGGACTTGGTAAAATTTGGTATCTCCATATAGCGAAATTATGTACACATAATCCTCAATAAACCATTTGCACAGGTCTTCCGTGTTGTGTTACTTCTCGTCTTCCCTTATATGGTGTTTCTTTCACGTCTCTTATGTTTCTCCGAAAACGCTGTATCATTTGCTTTCTCTGACATCCAATCTTTCTATCTCCCTGCTATATGATGGTTTTATGCTGATGAACGTCTCTGTATATACCACTAATAAATCGTATCAGTAGCACAGGTCACAGTATAACCAGTCTGCATTTTGCTTGTTTCGTTTACCTCATTTAATTTTCATCATGTGGATTACTTCGTGTTTTATTTTGCACATTTCCTTCTCCATTTTATTGAACATGCATTTGACTTCAGACACTGCACAAATCCCTTGTGTCGAAATGTTACTCAGTTTCAAATTCGACCAATAACATTTTTCGAAAGTTATGTAATCCGTCCCACCTCTTCATTACTGAGCAGTAATTTTATATCCTATCCAGTGTTCATTTACTTCCCTTTGAATGTGCTTTGATTCTTTGCATTAAAATGAAATCATTCTCCATTTGATTCATTATTTGCATCATAGTATTCGAAAAAGTGTATAAAGATTGTACAAATTTTATAAATTCATTAAATTTCCCCCTTCCTTTGAGTGTCACACCTAGTACAATGGACCAGGTTAGGATAAGCATCAGGGAACTCAGAGAAACAACTAACCAAGGACCCATTGCTCAACAAATATACGGAAGTAAGTGGAGATGAATCAGACAGAAGCTGAAGAAGCCGTTAAGTGACATGGCGCACCAGACAGTCCGTCGAGTGTAACGCCGAAGCATAAAGAACAACGGGGTGATATGGATAAGAAGAAGTAAGGAGGAGATCCGAGAATTTGAGCAAACTTGGATCCAGTTCAACAGGACTTCAGAGAAAATGATGAAATGGAGATGTGATGTGGAAGTTGCATTTTCCACTCAGAGCTCAAGGGAATAATAGTAAGTCACGTGTTCTCAGTGTATGTCAAACAGAATGGCTATTGTATTTTCACTCTACAATTGTATCCGTGTTTATGTCACAGAGGATTATTTGAAATAACAGACGTGACGTTTAGCTCGGAATTCAGAGAATATCGAACACCCTCAGAAACACATTAGACATATTCAATAATTGACGGTAACATGTCAGCCTAATGCTGCATCATTTAGCCTTGCAGAAAACATTTATACAACTAATAAAGCACATTTTTAGTAATGCTAAAGAACATCACAAGCATTTGATGAAAAATGTTTAGGTTTGATTGATCGCTTAACACTTTTGTTTGAAGAGATGAAAAATGAATATTAGTGGTGCTGACAGCTAAAATATATTCACATTGGAATTCAATAATGAATGAACTGCTTCTTGATTGGGTAACAGGTGAGCATACCTTATGCTAAAGTGTTTTATTTGAGATACACAGAAACACAATTAATAATAAACCTCTTCTAATACTTTTCCGTAAGCAGACAGCACACTGAGAACATAAGAAATGATGGGAAGACAAATGAATTGCTTTTCTATAACGATTTATATACTACTGAATATTCTGAATAATTGTAAGTCCAGTTTACTTTTGTTCAAACCATAACGTGTATTTTCATTGTCTTTATTGCTACTAACAACAGTCAAGGGGAGAAATTTATTTTCTGAGATATCACTTCAGAAAACTTCTATAATTATTATACTTATAGTTACTTGATATAACTGTTCATAATTGGTGACTAGGAATGTCAACTTAATGTCACAGTTTTTAATCTTTGACGTGAAATCCTTTATTTTAAGCACATGAATAACATCGCTTGGATCGACTGCAGTTGAACACCGGAATTGTATTCGATGTAATTCACATCCTATCTACTAGTTCCACTGCATTGGATTGGTACGTATTCTTGTGTAGAACTAATAAGGAGTTTTTGTGTAATCAACTGTTGTTAGATGACCAATAAAGATGCACGTAATCTCAGTGAAACCTTTACATTATCCACTGTCGAACACTGACTACTGACTGGTCATAATTTCATTGCTTGCGATTATTTAACAATTTGAATGTCTCCACAGCTATTAGAACTAACAGTTATTTTCAATAAGTTCCTCTTCAGATTCTATGATTCATAAATCATATCTGAAATGAAATCTGAAAGTCATTTCAGGACAGATATGAAAATATTTCAGTGTAGATTCCGTCACGAACATACATCAGTTAAAGAATCATCAGAAGTCAAGAAACAGTAGTTTGGGATTCCTTAGTGGTGCTTGGATATGACTCCTCCAGGGATTTATCCAAGGCCTTCAACTTTCAAGTCCAGCAGGTTGATCATTCACTAGGTTGGAATTGAGTGACCTGTAAATATGAACTCCTCTCACTCAGCGAGATAGCGCCATCATTATCTAAAACCATCAATGAGCATCCACATCATGAAGATATCGTGGACCCTACTGGTCATGAACTCTAGTCAAAAATCCAGCGGCCATTAATGAGCTTGACATGGATGGTCAGATAACGGAGTTTTGTAGGCAGTTGGATTAGTTTTAGAGCCAAAACACTGAACTCAATGTAAACAACTCTGAAATTTGATTAAAATCAGTCTAATGTCGATTGAAAATTTAATTCAGTACAAATGCAACAATTAATATATGGTGAGAACAATTCGATGGTTTAATTACAAATAAAACTGGAATATGTTCAGGGAAATAATTGATCACAATGCATTTATTATGAAATGTAGTGAGACTACAAACATTTAAAACAGAGGCAGATTATACTGTAAGTTGAGATCATTTAGAAAGTCACTAAAACCGAAGGAGCGATTAAAACATTTGTCAAATTGAATGATGTCATTTCACAACAAAATTCACCATGGAATATGTTGAAATCTCACGAATTACATAGCTGAATAGGAGATGGAGACTTAACAATAAAGTAAGAGGAGAAAAAAGAGACATGGCATTGTGGACTGAAGCGTTATGACCACCCATTGTGATTGGGAACCTACATTTATATGTGGTCACACGTAAATAGTGAGTACTAGATTATTTCTTCCAGTTAAGGCTACAGGATGCATTCTGAAGTGACTGTAGAAATAAATAAATTCACCTGATTCATTTAACCCTGAAAATAGCTGTTCAGCGTCATCTGTAACAAGGGACATCATAGAGACAGATCATAAACTTGTTTTCAATAATACCTTTAAATCCATATATATAATGGAGGTTTGGTTGATATGCTGAAATTCGACGCCAAGATTTTTTTCCATAAAATGAATTAACTCATTTCATTTATGTATCATTACACTGATAGTTATAACTTTTAAAATGTTTTACTTTATTTCACATAGACAAATGCACAGGCATCGACTGCTACGAGTGCGACTACTGCCCAACAGTTAACAATTCCACACCTATTAAAAGTGGCTGCAACGAATGCGTGGTAAATTCAGTTTTATAATAAGATGCTCTGAGATTTGAGTAATTTATTAATACCTTTACGTTTCTCTTATTAATAACATTTTTAAAATGTATTTATGTGTCGTGGGAAACCTGATAGAATCACAATGCTAATCGGAATCATTTATTTCCCGATACCAATTTAAAACAAGCAGCAAAGGTTAATATAACAGGATTTCATGAATTCATCGAATTTCGGTAGAACTATTCAGCTGAATACTCTACATACGGGGATAAATACATGCACCATTGAAAATACATTGGGAGATATACAACTGATGAGCAAGTGAACTACATTGAACTAATCACTCAGACAGACAGGTGAAAATGTTTTCTAGGTCATATCCAAATAGATAAGGGAAGAGGGATTATGAGAGATTGAAATTAAGATCAGAAGCGTTAAGTTTCAATTACATCACTTAGATAAACAATCAGTCATCAGAGAATATATGAAGAATTGTGAGCTGAGTAGCATTAATACTAATTTTTATCATAATTATTAATAATTTTGAAGTGCGTTAAGATAATGCTACTGATAAAGGATAGTTATAAATGAATCAAGAATAGTAGTAAGAGGTAGAATAAAGTGTTAATAATATTAATAATAATAATAATAACAACAGTTAATAAGTAAAACGTACTACCATGGATGATTCAGAGTGACGACCATCTCCTTTTGTGAACGGAGACCTGATTTATGAACTCGAATTGCACAAGACTACTCCGGAATTGCAAGCATCTTCTTGTTTCTTTGTCTGCTGACGATAGTGAGTGAATTGACAGTGTCGACATTATGTCCGTAGTCCTAAAAATGCTTTGTTATTGAACTTTTGGCACTTTGAATTCAGCTGTTTTAAGCCGGAATGGTAAATGCTTCAACATGCAAATAGAGTATCTATTTTCTATACGGCCTATGCAATTGATTCCACAAACACACTGAAATTGACATACGCAGTTTGAAGTTTCGATGATTGGGGACTGGTCTTTCCCACACTTTTAAAGCACTAGATTGATTGTGTTAAGGAAGACATGTTTTGCAGCATAATAATTTATCGAGTCTTCGTTTGACTACCTCTTGTATATCATCTCCTTTGAATGGAAAACTGACTGTTGGGTTTTCAAATGACTGCATTCTTATTCCTCAGGAAGAAAGCAGTACACTGGATGTCAGGGAAAGTCGCCCACTTAATTGCTTATTGAGGCTGGTGTCCCTCAAGTCGCTCTCCTTTCTCCTTTTCTGTTTTCTTTATTCTTGCATCACTTACCTCACTCTGATGAAATGAACTTTTTTGGTGTGGTTGTGTTCTCTGAGCTGGATGGTTTGGTTGCGAAGCTTTCATTGCTCTCATGAGCAACATCTTCAGCGCATACTTCGATGTGAAGTGAGCTTTTAGAATTCTCTATGAGTTTATTAGTCATCTCTTCTAGTAACCTTGAACGTGATTGATTGTTTTCGTGTGACTTCTCACTTTCTAGTTCACTTGTTTTGGTGTTGACTGTTTCCTTGACCTGAAGTTTGACTTTGTTTTTGTGTGAGTTTCTTCGTATGGATTGGTATATTTTGTCAATCTCTATGTGTCTATTGATTGCTGATTCATTTAAATACCTGGCCTCTAGGAATTCTCTGGCATTTTTGCAGTTCCATTTGTCTAAGCCATACTGAATAACTAGTTAATTGTCCTCGAAATATTATCCATTACATCATATTGTAGTATCATAATTTCCATGTCACTCTCGGACAACAGAGCTCGTTGTTTTGCATTTGAGAGTGTGATGTCAATCAACAGTTATTTCAGAGTATGTTCAATACACAGCATGGAATATTAAGTGAAAAGAAACACCTGTAATACTGGAGTAGTGTAGTGAGGAATCAGAGAATTTTCTACATCGTCTTTGTGTTTTATGTTGTCCCTGTTATTTTTCTCACCATTTGTATGACGAATAAATCTTTGTATACTTAAATTACAGACTGCTGGAGCAAACAATCAAGTATCTAGAACATGCTTGAACAGATCGTCAGGGGCGCGTGCGAATTTTCCATCACTAAATTGGGCAAAATGTTACGGAAATCGGTGTAATAAGAGGAATTCGACATTAGTAATAGGTGAGTGCCATTAATTTTGCTAGACAACAAACTGCTTTTCGAACTAATACTGCCTTCATACAACACGTCTTTCCATTGAGCGAACTGATCGAGGTGGAAATGACGTTTTGTGTCTGTGCATGTCTCAAGGAATTTTCACCAGCTATATAGTAAGAATCAGTGATCAGTTTCCGCGTTTATACCACAACGAGTCGGTTTTAGTCATAACCGCAAACACTGACGAAATGAAATCATGCCGTATTATCCCATTCAGTTTTGTTCTTGTGTAGTTCAAGAAGATATTTTAACAAAAACTACATGACTTAAAGATTTTTTAAAAGCAACCAATATTTTATAAATGGTAAAGACGTTTTACTCCAAGAAAATAATAAATGCTAAGTACAATTTGCTTCGAGAATCGCAACCACTAGCTACGAAGCGAAATATCCAGTTTACATGCACAACACAATTCTGATGCATTCCACTGCCTTCTTCCTCGATTTACAACCATCGTTATCTGAATGTCATAAATTTGGGTACAGCCTGTTAACCTTGTATTATTTCATGCAGATACGCATTCTCAATGGTAGCTTCCAGCTGAGTTATAACACGTGAAATGATGCGATAGTGTGCCTGTCAGCTAATTTAACTTTTTTTCAAAGTGAATTTGATTTTTTATTCTTTCATATCAGATTGCTTCCTCTAGATATCTACGTTTGAATTCTTTTCTAGAGAATCCAATCAGCTGTTATATTTGTAGAGTTTGCTCACATAATAAAGAAAGAATTGACAATATGTGCGGTGCATGTGCAGTAAGTTAAAGTCAACGTTATAATTCAATCATTTTGTCATTCATTTAAACAACCAAACTTGGATACTTCAACTCAAGAATCTTTACTATTACATTTACATGCGTATTACTATTTTTTGAACTGTAATTCGACTGATCTTACATTAAAGACGATAGTATTTCAAAACGCCAATATAGACATTGACGATTATTCCTGAATATTACATGCATATACATATAAACATATATATATTTGACGAATTGGTAGAAGTTAGAATGAATGGGTAGCGAATGAAAAAGGTCACAATGGCTGGATGATATACGAGCTTACCTTGTAACCAAAAGGACCTAAGCTCGAACTCTTGTTTCTGCGAACCGTCGATGATTCTCAAACTAGTATGAAATCGATTTCCAGTACTCCCTGGATTTCAACTGTTCTCCAACTGATATCAATCCATGGTCAAACACGGATATGTAAATTTGAAAACGTTGAATTTTTATTTGACTTTCAGATTCGTGATGAGCCTGGAAGTGAGAGTAAATTCTGCCTTGAAAGCTGTGATGAAGCACCAGCTGCCAAAGGATACTCTTGCTGTACAACAGATCTATGCAATGGAGGGAAAAAATTGAACACTCCCATAAGCTGTCATGTTTGCAAAGATTGCTCACCTACAAAGGAAAGAGTTGAAACTGAGTGCGGTGCATGTGCAGTAAGTTTAAGTCAACCTTATAATTCAATCCATTTTGTGACACATTCAAAAACATCTGAAGTTGGATAACTTAACTAAAGAATCCGATTTATTCGATTCTGAGTATTCAGTTGCTTACATTCAAATGCTGTTGATTCAATTAGTGATTTTGTGAGAAGAAATACGGGTGTGAACAATCTCATGCCATGCCATGTCATGCAATGTCATGTCTGCACTTCAGTCAAGCATGATATCGATACAACTAGTATTTGACAAGAGAATCATGCTTGAAACAAACTACTAATAAGTTCACTCATATACATATAAACGTGTTGATTTCATCGTTTTCGTCAGTTCTCCACAGAAAAGATTGTTCAGCAACCAAGTCTTCTATACAGTCATCTCTTCAGGAGGCAAGGTAGTGAAAATGCCTGAAATCAATAGGTTGAGTGTTCTATCATTTAGAGAACCAATGAAACTCAGAAGATACTAGACAGCTGTTTCCACCATGTTTCAGGTTCATTTCGTGATCCAATTTGACGTTGATCAAGTCTCTGCAAACCAACATGAGTTTATTGCATGCAAATATGACGGCTTTATGTACACGTCTAAGACACATTTCGCAATGTTGAAAGTCCTGATTTAACTATTTAGAAGCCGAAAGATTGAATAATAAATATACCTTTTCATGTTTTCTTTCTATAGCACTACAGGTATACATCGACATAGTACTTGAAGACTAAATGATATAGATTTTTTCATTCCTTTACGTTCCCGGCGGAGCATAGATTTTCAATCAACAAGCTTTAGGTATCGGAAGCAGTGGTATTTATTTCTATGGGTTGAGGATGCTAGCCTCATACCCAACCCTTCCTCATCTTCATCAGTCTTATTACTGGATTAGTAAAGTAAAGGAGTCCGTCGACCGAAGATCGAACCCGAAACCACCTGCTTGGTTGGTAAGCGTTGTACCGCTGTGCCGTCCACGCACTGACGCACCTATACAAGGAGCAAACACTTAATCAGATAGACGTTCTCAATCTTTCGGTAGACACCATTTTTTGCGTGAATGGTTCACTATGAGAATGCTCACCGACCAAGTATGCGAGGTCCGGGTTCGGTCTCAAGCCCACAGCCCACCTAATCGTCGCTTAGCCAGCAGTATAGACAGTAAATAAGGAGGGTTGGAAGTTAGTTAGGCTAGCAACTTCACTCCTTTCGAAAACAACAACACCACCACTGAGAGTTCAAAACTCACGCTTGAAGGCAAAGTCAGACGGAACCTATGTCATCAGTCAATATATCTGTAATATATCACAAATTAAATTATTCAGTGCAAAGATGTTGTGAAGGAAAGAAAGCAAGAACACAAAAATATGCAAATGATATAGATAACAACTATGTTTTGAAGACTATAATATGGAGTTGTTAAATTTATTTAAATCACAGTATGAGTGATAAAATGCATAAAATTGTGATACTTAATTGAACACCAGATAAAATTAAGACGAATAGCTTGTTGATACAGAAATATCTGATGAAAGTCTTAAAGAGGAAGGGGAATTGTCTTATTTCTTCAATCCAGTAATAATGCTCAAAATAAGGAAATTATTTATATGAATTTCTTGTAAACATACAGGTATATATGTAATATGAAGTTATAGGATTGATTATTCAAAATTTTTTGCGGGACTTTGAATGTCTAAATAACATCAAATATATGTCCATTACGTAAATGATTAGCCAGAGAATAGTCAAAAAGAGACGCTGTTTGTCTCTTGCTTAAATACGCAAGATGATGTTCAGAAATTTGACGGTATGCATGCCTAATTGTACACCTGTTGTAACTGGCTACACTGAGAAGTCAAACTCATAGACACACAAGCAGGTGGGGGAATTAGGGGCTCATCTTTATTTGGAGTGGTTGGCAAGCGACAGTGTACTTCTGCTGCAATCAATCCACCTTTTGCCGCATTCTTCAGCCACTTTGCTTTTATCTCTCAGTTATCACCAAAGAATCGCAGTTGTAAGAGCATCATCTTCTTCAAAGCTGTTGACATACAAGCTTGGCTGAACATTAAATTCACAATTTTATCAAAACATGTTTCTGGCTATCCACTTTAATTAAATTAGCCTCCAATAATCTTGAGGTCTTGGATCAAATCCCTCTAGCTCAGTGAACCAAACAGTTTGTTAAATTACCTTTACATTTCAATGGTATAAAACTAAAGGAAAATATAATATTTCGATAAAGAAAGGAAGACGAAATTTGCAGTATAAAATGATATCATTCTATTTCACAGGTTCTCATCAGCTGCAGACTACCTGAAATTTCAATGGTTGTATAAATGATAATAACATACTTTAATGTTTGATTAGTAGTAGAGAAGAGATAAAATTGACGCATCCAAAAAAGAATGAAAGCATTACAATTTTTAGTTTAAGTTATCATCATCAATTTATACACTTTCAGAGTTGAAAAGACGGGGTAGGGGTAAGACAGTATACAACACCACTCCTTCCATGATCAACTCAAAACTGGATAAATACCCTGCTGATGTCACCTCCAACTGCGTTTATGAATTTACGTGCACTTGCGGGAGCAAGTACATTGGAAGGACAGAAAGAAGGGCTTCTATCCGGTTTTCTGAACATATTCCAAGAAACCTATGCCTGAAAGGAAGCAAATATTCTCAGAGTGCAATTACCAGACATATTGTTGATACCGGACATCTCGTAGAGATCTCTAAGTCCTTCAAAATATTAAATAGACAAAGGACAGCAAATTTACTAAGATTTGCCGAAGCGATCGCAATCAAACGATTTAAACCAGACTTATGCATACAGAAAGAGAGTGTAATTAACCTCTCACTCCCTTGGTAACTGAATTTTGATTTTGATTAGTCATCAGTGATCTCAACTCACTGAGCAAATCTCAATCTTATAAACTGTAAATGCTTTTGTTTTTTGGAGTTGCCATGTGAACCTACAAGCTAACACTGTTTCTGTTAATCAATTTTTCTATTTTCTGTCTTACCCCTACCCCCTCTTTTCAACTCTGAAAGTGTATAAATTGATGATGATAACTTAAACTAAAAATTGTAATGCTTTCATTCTTTTTTGGATGCGTCAATTTTATCTCTTCTCTACTACTAATCAAACATTAAAGTATGTTATTATCATTTATACAACCATTGAAATTTCAGGTAGTCTGCAGCTGATGAGAACCTGTGAAATAGAATGATATCATTTTATACTGCAAATTTCGTCTTCCTTTCTTTATCGAAATTTATCAAGGGAACCAGTTGTATGAAAATATAATAATTAAGTATTTTCCAGTCGAAATTCATATCAACGTTGAAACAGAGCTTTCCATCACTAAAGACTTGGAACTTGGAAAATTTTGTTTGTAAAACCTCAGTGAAATTGAAATAAGTAATTCGAACGTTTAGTCCAGCAAACTGGTCTGGACGTTTCCAAGGAAATTAAACAAAATCAAAATAAGAAGCTATTTGTGTATATAAAAAGGACACATATTGTCTTTAAAAATCTTTGTCCAATCACGAACTTGTCATTGATTTACTTGAGAGCTGGAGAAATTCCATTATGTCTACCATAGAATGACAACAAGTTTAATAGATAGATTTAAGTGAGACAGTCTTTGGATTTCCAAGCCAGACATTCAGAGACCATCGATACACATAGAAGAGGCAAAATTAGGGCTACTCTTTGTGTATCTATTAGTTTGACTGCTCCTGTGGGGCCAGTTACATCGACCATACAAATACGCGTGGTTTTCATCAGATTTCCAAACACCATCCTGCGTAGGTGGTTAAGTAAGTAAGTCACAAACAAAATCCATTCATTGTTCTCTTTTACCTCATCTCGTGGATACAGAACGCAGGATTGATGTTAACGAGGCTTTCAAAGTCATCTACCGCATACCAACTGATCTTGACTTTACCTTAAGCGTTTGTCTACTACATATTGCTGAGGCTGTTGGGATCCACACTAAGAAATCTAACTTATGTATCCGATTGAAGTTGATACAGACACTGTCTTCACCTTGGCCATCAAGGTTTTAGCGATGCTCAACTAAGAAAACAGAAATATTAAGCGAAGAGATATTTACTTTTCAGTTAGATCCTCATCTCACTGTGGCTCTACTCTAATATACACCTATAGCATTTTTATTACAATACACAACAGTTTACCAAACAAGGCGCGATATGTTTGTTAACAATAATGAAACAGCGTCAAAATGTCGATGGGTTGATAATTAACGAAGAAAATCAATACACATTTACAAGGTAGAAATGGATAGAATTAACTGATTTTACAAGGATAACACGTAATGGAAGATGAAGTGGTCAAAATAAATAAAAATAAAATCATTTGGACAATTATAATTGTTATAGTTTTTAAAGGTTTTGCGGGAGGGGTGCGACGTAATCCTGTTTGTGCATTCCTTCAACGACGGCCACGGTTAGGAAAGTGGATGTACAAATTTCTTCTGAACACATAGGCTTCGCTTCTTCTGGTGAATTTCGATTGCTTCAGCTGTCTGTAGAAGACGAACTCGTAGAGCAAAATTAAGTCTAGTCGGAATGCGATAAATAATTTTAAATGCAGTATTAACATCAACCTTATGCTCAGTATCAACAAGGTGTGCTAAAGTAAAACTACGAATAGATCTTGTTTGTCCCTTGCTTAACCATGTTGGATGATGTTCGGAAATACGACAGTGAATCTGCCTAATTGTATGCCCAATGTAGCTGGCTCCGCAGCTGCAGTCAAACTGGTAGATACACATAGAAGAGGCAAATTTAGGTAGTTTATCCTTATTTCTCGAACATAGAATAGGGGAGGTTGTGAAGAGACAACGTACCTGTGCTGCACAAAACTCTTTTAACTACATTCTTCAAGCGCGGTGTTATTACTTCGCTGATGCAATTTTATGAACATTGGTTTTTTCGGAACTGTAGCCATCCTGACACTCCTTGGTGATAATTTCATATTTTTCTCAATGAATTTGTCTGGATAACCATTTTTTCTAAGTAATTCTCTAATATTCTTAAGCCCCTAATTAAGGCAGTCGTCTGAACAGATTAACTTAGCTCCACCAACCAGACAATTTACAAAATTCTAAATATCTAGATGCTTAAATTTTTGTCGTAATTTCCTTGATTTCAATTGACATTCTATTTACTATTGCAATTTCATGCTTAATAATATTTCTTGAACTGTAATTCGACTGATATTACATAAAAGTCGAAAGTATTTCAAAACACCAATATCGTCATTGACGATTATTACAGAATATCAGATGCAAATATATATGCATATGAAGAATTAGTAAAACTTAGAATGAATAAGTTCGTCATGGAAAGGGTCCCAGTGGCTGGATGATATACGAGCTTACCATGTAATCGGAAGGACATAAGCCCGAACTCTAGTGTGTGGGTACCGCCGATGATTCCCAAACTAGTATGAAATGGTTTTTCAATACTCCCGGGTTTTCAACGGTTCCATAACTGATATCAATCCATGGTCAAACACGGATATGTATATTTAAATTTGTAAACGTTGAAATTTCTATTTGGCTTTCAGACTCGTAATGAATCCGGATCTATCAGTAAATATTGCCTTAAAAGCTGTGATGAAGCACCAGCTGACAAGGGATACTCTTGCTGTACAACAGATCTATGCAATGCAGAGAAAAAATTGAACACTCCCATAAGCTGTCATGTTTGCAAAGATTGCTCACCTACAAACGAAAGAGTTGAAACTGTGTGCGGTGCATGTGCAGTAAGTTTAAGTCAACCTTATAATTCAATCCATTTGTCCCTCATTTGAACAACCGAAAATGGACAAATTAACTAAAGATTCCTAATTATTCGACTCTGAGTATTCAGTTGCTTACATTCAAATGCTGTTGATTCAATTAGTGATTTTGTGAGAAGAAATACCTCTGTGAAAAATCTCATGCCATGCCATGTCATGCAATGTCATGTCATGTCTGCACTTCAGTCAAGCATGATATCGATACAACTAGTATTTGACAAGAGAATCATGCTTGAAACAAACTACTAATAAGTTCACTCATATACATATAAACGTGTTGATTTCATCGTTTTCGTCAGTTCTCCACAGAAAAGATTGTTCAGCAGCCTACTCTTCTCTTCAGTCATCTCTTCAGGAGGCAAGGTAGTGAAAATGCCTGTTATCAATCGGTTGAGTGTTCTATCATATAGAGAACCAATGAAACTCAGAAGATACTAGACAGCTGTTTCACCCAGGTTTCGAATTCATTTCGTGATCCGACTTGACATCGATCAAGTCTCTGCAAACCAACGTGAGCTTATTTCATGCAAATATGATGGCTTGATGTGCAAGTCTTAAACACATTTCACAAAATAGAAAGAGTCCTCTTGGAACTATTTAGAAGACGAAAAGATTGATTAGAGAATATTCTTTTTCGTGATTTCTTTCTATAGCCCTACAGGTATACATACATATGCATAGGATTTGAAGAGTAAATGATGTTGATTTTTTTCATTCATTTACGTTCTCAGCGGAGAATAGCCATTCAAGCTAGAAGCTTGAAATATCGGAAGCAGTGGTATTTATTTCTATGGGTTGAGGATGCTAGTCTCATACCCACCCCTTCATCCTGTTTATCAGTCTCATTACTGGATTAATAAGGTAAAGGAGTCCGTCGACCAAGGATCTACCCCGAAACCACCTGCGTGGTTGGTGAGCATTCTACAGATGTGCGCCCGACGCACTGAAGCTCCTATACAAGGAGTAAACACTAAATCAGATAAACGTTCTCAATCTTTTGGTAGACACCATTTTTTGCGTGAACGGTTCACTATGAGAATGCTCACCAACCAAGTGTGCGCGGTACGCGTTCGGTCCACAGCCTACGTCACACCAAATCTTCGCTTAGCCAGCAGTATAGACAGTAAATAAGGAGGGTTGGGAGTTAGTTAGGCTAGCAACTTCACTCCTTTCGAAAACAACAACACCACCACTGAGAGTTCAAAACTCACGCTTGAAGCGTTTTATTGCACTGTGAAGGCAAAGTCAGACGGAACCTATGTCATCAGTCAATATATCTGTAATATATCACAAATTAAATTATTCAGTGCAAAGATGTTGTGAAGGAAAGAAATCAAGAAGCAAAAAATTTGCAATTGATATAGATAACACCTATGTTTTGAAAGCTATATTTAATTTTTTAATCGTTTAATTTTAATTTGACTTTCAGACTCATACTGCATTCGGATCTATTAATAAATTTTGTCTTCACAGCTGTGATTTAATACCAGCTCTCAAGGGATTCTCTTGCTGTACAACAGATCTATGCAATGGTGAGATAAAATTGAATATTCACATAGGCCTTATGATATTTCTGCTGAGTGTTACCCATTTCAGCATCAGAGCATTATAAAATGATTTAAGTGATGTTGAATATCACTGCACTGTACCACTAACATTTATTCACATTCTTATATTATAAGAATATTTTAGTGGTTCTGTCAAAACAATATCTACTATCTAAACTGACATGTAACCAATGTATGATTTCAACTCTAAATGCATTCGAACAGTTATAACGACGTAAATTGTTTCACTCGCTATATTTATATATAGTTTAACCTTAATTTTGAATGTTTATTTGATTTATCGTACAAATGTAAATTTCAAAGACATATTAAGTCTATTATTTCATTTGAGATGGTGTGCATCTCAACCTCTGCATCCTTTTAAGACTGGCTGACTGTCACCTGGAAACGAAAGAATAAAGAATTCAAGCTTAGTAGTAAAATAAGCGAATTAAAAATATACCAATAACCTTCATTTTAAAGGAGAAAATATCTTTTTTTTATTCCTTTACGTTCTCAGTGGAACATTGGGCTTCAAGGTAGAGACTTGAAGTTTCTGTAGCAGTGTTTATTTTGACAAGATGAGGTTGCTAGACTCATGCCCAACCTTTCCTCTTCACCAGCTTTATTTCTGACTTAGTGAGGTAAAGGAGTTCACCAGCCGGGGATCGATTCCCGGACCATGTGTATGGTCGTCAAACGTCCTAACCGCTATGCTTGATAAACAATTATTCAAACGTAAGACATCACAGTGGTTGTAAATTTGTTAACGACGACTGAAAATGAAGTAGTTTGTTAGTTAACCTACTACAATGCTGAGGTGTGAGTGTTTGAACTAATTTCGTCGTTTGATCTGAGTAAACCTATTTAAAACATTGATGAGCTCGGCCCAAAACATTGGGAACAAACTTCAGTGGAAATGTAGTCCACATATAACTTCAGGTTCTAAAATAGGAAGTGTACAAAAATGCATGGAATTTTCGGGAGATCAAGAGTTAGGGGTGAGACGGTATAAAAAGACGGAAGATAAATGGTAATTCGAGTGTTTCTTATTTGACACACCAGTATTTCAGCAAATGAAAAAAAGAATCATTGAAAGCCAGGGAGTACTGGACAGTCCCAGTTTGAGACAGTTGTTTCTTTTTAACCTGTGTCAGTTTCTCTTTACTTTACCTGGTGTTCATGTGTCTTCTTACAAATCTACTAGGATAAGTATTTTGGATGCATCCTAATTCATTTTCTAGGCAGTCATCTGTATAGATCCGTCTTGCTCTATTCGTGAGGCATCTCACCATATTGATTTTCGATCAGATTTGTACAAAACTGAGGAAATGTGTATATTGTCCTACAGATGTGGGTTTTCTATAGATATATATCTCTCTTGCGTGAATCATCTTCTCTTCTGCTCAATTGGACATCAGTGATGTGTAGTCTGACATCATGCACTTCTTCACAAGTGAAGATGAGCGATTGATGTGCAACATTAACTTTTACTAACATTTCATTCTTGTCAGCTTTGACATCGAGGATAATACATGCATTATCAACATAATGAAAATAAGAATCCATTTTATCTATTTCTTGTTTCAATGGACCAATTTCAACTTTAGGAAGAAAGAAATCTGCCCAAGCTGCACCCGATGGAGAAACCATGGCGATATCGTTGATTTGTCTGTAATAGAGGTTGGTTATTGTGAAGTGTACATTCATATCGCATCTTAGAATCAGTTCCTTTGTACTAATAACTAAAATTCCGATGTCGAACTGCTTTTCTATTATTTGTTGGCATAAGAATTCCAGAGTCTCCATAAGTGTTGAATTGGTGAACAGTGATGAGACATCTAAGGATAGCATTTGCTTTCCATTTACATTATTATCATATACGTTAGAAATGAAACTGTGATTTACCACATTCTTGATTGGAGGCTGGGAGACTTCACCTAGCCACTTTGCCACTCCATTGTTGTGTGGAATTAGACATGTCTCGAACTGGGCGAAGAGAAATTCCTGGTTTATGTACTTTCGGCAGATCATACAACTGCGAAGCATCACTTCCAGTAGGTTTGAGATGGCTATAGGCTGCCTCTGGGATTACTCCACTTTTCCTCAGCTCCTTAAGCATGTTTGTTGGCTGCTTTTCAGCCTTTACGTCTAGATTTGTTGGATTAATTGGATTTTGAAATTTCGTTTCATCGGTTAGAAGCGAGTTCATTTTGTGAACTTAATCCCACTAATCCATCAGTACTACTCTGCCTCCTTTATCAAGGCTACTGATAATAATGTTTTCATTGTTCCTTGAATTTCTTACGGCTTCTCAGTGCTGTTTTAAGCTTCTGACAACGGTCGAGTAGTGAAGTTTTAAACGTAACGAATTCATCGTCTGACAAAGGAATCAATTCTTTTGTTTGTAAGGGAAGTTTTGAAACTGGATTATGTTATCGAATTGGTTGATCTCACATCCTTTGTCACAAAATCTAAGACCCAATGATAACGCTTCTAAGTGTAATTTATCGGGTATAAAAACTGGAAAAATTATAAACATACCGTTAAGGATCCGAAGCGCAAATCTTTTCAAGATTTTGACTTTCTAAGAATTGGATAAATTTCATTCGCCTTCACCCCTCTCTGTTTTGGCCAACTTTTTCGACATAACTAAGAAAATCTGATAACAGATCCTCAGGAAGTTCATCAACCGCAAACTTCATTTGTGATAAATTTCTTTCTATTTCCGATATAGGAATTTTTGAAGAGTCCAAATAGTTGGGTGCATATCGTTTCAGTGAATATGGGATTTGTATCAACTTTATTACGGCTAAGAGACTTCCAGCAAAATTTTATGAAATGTAGACAGTCATTTATAAAATGCAAACATGTTTTTCGCTTCTGTGAGTTTGGCATTATACTTCAGGTACTCATTGAGTGCCTTCAGTTTACTGAAATCCCCATGTGATTTCAAATCTTTAAATGATCCCATTATTAATAGTAGAAAAAGACATATAAGGGAACAATATTATTTTCGATTAGATCTTCAGGCCTTACTCTGATTTACATTTATATATCTATACATATATATATATTTATATATAGATATAAAGATATATATGAACAAGCATCAATTGAAAACAGTATTTTCCGCCTATATGTCTTGTTCTAATATTAATAATGAGAAAATTTAAAGACAAAGAAGATAGCAAAGTTTTGGCTATTTGAAAAGGTATACTCCACCATGATGTGCAATATGGTCATCACCCAGGACCTGAAAAATAGGTATTGTAACTGTAGAAGATTGGAGACTTCGTAAAATAATTTTGGTTTGCAATTTGGTATCTCCATATAGCAAAAATTATGTACACCTAATCCTCAATAAACCATTTGCACAGGTCTTCTGTGTTGTGTTACTTCTCGTTTCCCTTATAT